GGAACAAGGGTGCCCTCCGGAACTGGAAGGGATTGGGAAGGACATTGCCATGAAGTGCAGAGGCCTTCCATTGTCAATTGTCGTGATTGGAGGACTCTTAGCAAAGTCTGAGCAAACACAAGAAAACTGGCAACGTGTGGCAGAAAATTTAAGCTCGACCGTGAATTTAGAGAAGGACGAGCATTGCTTTAAAATACTAAAGTTGAGCTACAATCAACTTCCGGTCCACCTAAAGCCGTGTTTTCTCTACATGGGCATGTTCCCGGAGGACGACAGGATTGATGCCACCACGCTCATCCGTCTATGGGTTGATGAAGGATTTGTGAAACCGCTGGCTGGTAAAAGCATGAAAACAACTGCTCGAGTAGTGTACCTACATGATCTCGTCATTAGAAACCTAATCATGGTTCGTGAGTGGGGCCCTACTCGAAGAATAAAAAGATGTGGCATCCACGATCTCCTAAGAGACCTGTGCATAAAAGAAGCCGAGAAATATAAATTCTTTCGCACCATGGGAACAACAACAATGCACAACAACCCTGACCAAATTAGCTGGCAAGCACAACGCCGTATCGCCATTCACACAGCCGGGAAATACATTTCCCGTCATTTCCCTAAAGCTATGCGATCCGCATCACGAGTGCAAACTCTGATATGGAACCTTGATGAAATTTCTCCATCTATAGTTCCTTTTAGATTGCTGAGGATTCTGAATGGATCACTTACTTACAGGAATAAATATTCTGGAAAAGAATTATTTCTTCCTGTCAACTTGCGCCACCTGGTTGCCCCAAGGATTGAATTCCCTGTGGAAGTTTTTTACTGTCTCTGGAATTTGCAGACGTTAATAGCTGCTACCTCCTGTAACTTGCCGGTGCTGGACATCTGGAGGATGCCCCAACTCAGGCACGTCAAGATAGGGTATTTCCAGCTCACGGATCCTCCTCCTCCAATGGATGAAGAAGAAGAAAATGGTGATCGGATGGTGTTAGAGAATCTAGAGACGCTGAAGACCGTATATAACTTAAGGTTGAGTGATAAAGTGGTTGAGAGAATCCCCAATATCAGGAAGCTGAGAATACGTTACACCAACAAGGAGAAGGACTTGGAATCAGACAATCTCTGTAGGCTATGCAAGCTGGAGGACCTTGCGATTACAGGATCACTCTCTGTGACCTCGTTCCCGATTATGCTCAGGAAGCTGTTTCTGCAATACACGAAGCTGGGGTGGGAGGAGATGGGGACAAAGATAGGGTCGTTGCCATATCTCGAGGACCTCCAGTTATGGCACCATGCTTTCGTGGGGGCCGAGTGGGAAACATCCGAGGGCGGATTCCAGAGCCTGAAATACTTGCGAATCATGTGCTCTGCTCTGGAACAGTGGACGGCGGAGGGCACGCCCTTCCCGCGTCTCGAGCAGCTCGACCTAGAGGGTCTAGACAAGCTGAATGAGATTCCAAAGGAAATTGGGGATATTACCACGCTTAGGAAGATCTACTTTAATCGATGTTCGGACTCTGCCTTGCTTTCTGCATATAAGATATCAGACGAACAAGAAGAATGTCTTGGGGAGACCACCTTCAAAATTGATGTTTGTAAAGCAGAACGTGGGGAGACCACCTTCAAAATTGATGTTTGTAAAGCAGAACGTTACGAAACCATAGATGGGAAATATACCCTAACGCGTAGATGGGGACCTTTACATAGTGTTTGGTACTGCGCAACAACCAAATAATTTTGGTAATATTTTCATTCTTGATTCTTTTATTCTAGATGTATTATTGTTTTTTGATATTTCGAGCTGATATATATGTGCCTGGATTTATGTGTGTGTGGCTAATTCCTCTTTGTTGTGGTAGAGACAAATAATTTTGGTAAAATTTTCATTCTTGATTCTTTTATTCTGGATGTATTGTTGTTATTTAATATTTTGAACTGATATATATGTGCATGGATTTATGTGTGTGTGGCTAATTCCTCTTTGTTGTGGTAGAGACTAATTCTGAGTTCCCAATTCAAACTGTGAGAGCCAATACATAATACAAACATGAGTATGTCCATAGTTATTCTAGTTTTGATGTAATCGAAAGATGATATATATATATATATATATGTTATATATGAATGAGAGCATACTGTATTCTATTTTTTTTTTGCTACAGACCATGATTCAGGATTATTGTCAGTGAATTATTTTTAAACATGTAAGAATAAGAGAAAGGTGTGAGTGAGTTAGAGGGTTAAAGTTGATATTTTGATGGGAGTTAATGATAAGGAAAAATCCCACATGCCTTTTTATGTTCATTTGAATTACAATGTTTAACTAACTCTATTTTAAAATTTCACAATGTGAGAAACTTGCCAACTTGCCAGGCCCTTCGTGCCATATGTCATGAAAAAGTCCATTTATTTTTGTCATTTTATTTTGTCTCATAAGATTTAGTATTATTGGTCTTGAAGATTTTCTTTTTATCATTTGTTTTGTCTCCTAGGATATAGTATTATTGGTCTTTATAAGATTCTTGCGCTCATGTGAATTTTGAATGCTCAAATACCATTGATTTGTTTGAGTTATAATTTTAGATTGTCTGTAACATGGATCTAAGGATTCCAAAAATCTAAAAATAAAAAATCAAAGATAAGTGCACTAGTCTAAAAAAAAAAAAATCATACTTTGCAATGATGTTAAGTTTCATAGGCTTGGACCTGAATGCTTATCTCATTTAATTTTATCTTTCAGTAACCAATCTATTTTATGTATCTTTCTGTGGTGGTGCATAGGTGACTTATATACATAATATCACATCATGGCTTATGGTCATTATATTATTTTTGTTTTATGTTCTTGTATGAGTTTAAAAAAAGAACATTGTCTTTAAGTTAACTTTTTCTCTTTGTGGTTGCATTAAGTATGGATAACTTTGAAGAGAGATGGTACGATTTCCGCCGGAGAGTTGTGGCCCAACTAATATGCATAATTGCATTTTATTGTTGCATTAAGGAGTCCTCTAAGAAAAATGTTACTTATAGCATGAGTTCCAAGAGAGAAAAGACGCGCCAAGAAATACTTTACAGGATTACTAATAATAAAGATAGTAAGAATATTACTAGAATGAGTCCAAGAGCTTTCATGAGCTTATGTGCTATGTTAGAAAGAGAGGGTGGGCTAAAACCAACGCGATGGTCAAGCGTGGAAGAACAAGTTGCCAAAACATTATATATATTAACGCATAAATCAAAAAATAGAGAGGTGAACTTTTGGTTTCGCCGTTCTGGTGAGACGATTAGTCGACATTTCCATCAAGTATTGAGGGCTATAATTGAGTGTGAAGATAAATTACTTGTACAACCTGATGGTTCAACCGTGCCAGCCGAAATTCATAACAGTAGTAGGTTCTACCCTTTTTTTAAGGTAATTATTGTCATTAATCAATAAATTTAGTAAACTTTATTTTTATTATTTATTAATTAATACTAATATAAAATGTCAGGATTGTATTGGTGCTATTGATGGAACTCATATACGTGCAAAGGTATCTAAAATAGATGCTCCTCGTTATCGTGGGAGAAAGGAATTTCCAACACAAAATGTGTTAGCTGCTTGTACATTCGATTTAAGATTCACATATGTGCTTCCTGGATGGGAAGGCACTGCCTCTGATTCAAGAATTATAAAAAATGCATTAAGGAGGGAAGATAGGCTAAAAATTCCTCAAGGTAATTGGAGTTGTAATTTGAAAATGTATTTCATATAACTTTATCTATTATGAAACAACAATCTCTCTTCTTAAGAATCATAATGTTTTGTTATAATTATAGGAAAATATTATCTTGTGGATGCGGGATTCATGTTAACGAGTGGACTAATTACACCTTATAGAGGAGTTCGCTATCATTTGAAAGAATATTCGGCGAAAAATCCACCACGGACTTTTAAGGAATTGTTCAATCTTCGTCATGCATCCTTACGGAATGCAATTGAAAGAGCCTTTGGTGTACTGAAAAAGCGTTTTGAAATATTATCTTCGGGTGCAGAACCTAATTTTGGGGTTAAAGCGCAGAAACTCATTATTGTTGCGTGTTGCATTCTTCATAATTTTCTAATGAATGTGGACCCTAATGAAGAACTTATCGCTGAGGTAGATGATGAACTTGCAAGACAAAATCCAATTGAAGATGATAGTTATGTTCTTGGATCTGATAGCGAAGAGGCTGCTCGAGGAGAGTTTATAAGGGATTGTATAGCACATGAGATGTGGTTAGATTATGAACTTGATAATTCATAATGTACGGTTTGCACAATTTCAGTGGTGTTGTTTTGTTAGTTGACTTGAATGCATTGTCTTTATTATTTATTTATTTGAACTTGATTTGTTTTTATTTATATGAGATTTTTGGAGTAATGAAATGTTATCTTTTGAGGTTATAATTGTTGACATTTAATTTTTGGTGTAAATTCTAATATGCATGTCTCATTTGTTTTAAACTTTGTAGAATGGGTCCCAGGAAGTCTTCATGTCCATCTATCTCTGGGAAAGAGAACTTAACTTGGACAAGAAGTATGGATGATGCTCTCGTTGATGCTTTTGTTAATGAACATAATTGTGGTAATAAAGTAAATGGTACTTTCACTAGTACTGCATATGAGAATATTGTGAAAGAGCTCAGTGCCTTGTTTGACAAAAAGATTGACAAGGAGAAAGTAAAAAATCGATGGAAAACTTTGAAGAGAAATTTTTCAGAAGTCTATGATGTTTTTAGAAGTGGAATGAGCGGGTTTGCTTGGAATCCAACTACAAAATTATGGGATGCAGAGCCACAAGTTTGGGATGCTTTGATTGAGGTTGTAATAATTATTTTCTTTTATACATCATTCCTATTATCATGTTTGTCTACTTGTTATTTAGTTATATAACATATGTTTTATGATTTTTTTTTACTCACAGGCTAAACCAAAAGTAGCAGCAATAAGATTTACTCCATTTCCAAATTATGAAAAAATGGTGCTTTTATATGGAAATGATAGAGCAACTGGTGAGGATGCGGAGACTGCATTTGAGATGAGAAAGAGGAGAACTTCATCTACTGAGAATCTATTTACCACAACAATCGACGAGGTTGACAACCTTGTATCTCAAAATGAAGTTACTTTGGAGAATATTGGTGATTCTATTGACGTGGATAATGATATCTTTAGTGTTTCTACTCAACATCCTTCTATGGGAGGAAACAGTGGAGCAACTAGTAAGAAAAGAAAGAAGGAAGATGCAATGAAGGATAAAGCGTCCGAATTTGAGATTATAAAAGGAGCAATTGATAACGTCGCAAATGCACTACGAGAAGGAAATGAACTATTCAAAGACATGTACTGTCATAAAGTTCCCCCAATTTCCGGCGAAGCAACATGGACTTTACTCAAGGAATGCGGGTTTGATAATAACTTATTGACGGACATCTATTGTTTTCTTATGAGGGACATCGACAAGCTTCGATGTGTTGTCCAATGTCCGCCCGAAGCTCGTAAGGATGTTATCATGAGAATGATGTTTGGTCCCTCCAATCCACCATTGTGAGCAAAAAGATGTTGTCATGTGGTTTCACATGTTTTGGAAATTTGAAACTTAAGTTAATTTATTTAAAGTTTAAGTTGTCATTATGGTGCCAAAAAACTATCATTTTTGTATGTTTTGTTAGAACTACTAATGTAAAATAGCTTTTGTGTAGGTTGATGCACTTATGGTCGTATGGATGTTTGTAGGATTTTATTATACTTTTGCTATGTTTACGTATGGTGTTTTGTACTTATATTTTATAAACTTTATATGATGAAATGTGATTTGTAATGTTTCATTGATTGGTGATACGGTTGAAAAGAAAAATTATATGATTTGAATCTCATAAAAAAATATGGCATCATATTTTTTGTCATTACTTCTTTGATGGTTGGTTATTAGGAAGACTCAATTTATAGCAGGTTAGTAGCAAGACTCAGTTTAATAGTTTATAATAAAGAGTGATTAATTGAGTTATGTACAAACATAATGTTACATAATAAAGAAGGGTATATTTGTCTATATAATTTTATTTTCCCTCCTTTTACTTTTTAAACCAAACAAGGTTTACTATTTTCCTTCCCCTCCCCTCATATAAAATCCCTCCAAACAAGGTAAACTTATTCTACATCACTTTCCCTCCCCTCTCCTCCCCTCCCCTCCCCTCCATTAAAATCCCTCCCCTCCCTTTCCCTCATTTGAACCAAACATAGCCTTAAGATAATTCCTCAGACGCATAGATAGATAGGAAAATATCTGAAACGGCTGGAAAAATGTCCTATTACTGTGATTTTTTTTTTTTTTTTCCTTTTTAGCTTTTATATTGTTGTGTGTTTATTTGCTTTTCTATTTTTCTTATTGAGTATTAATGTCATTTCTTTTTTTAAATGTTTAATAATATTTTTGTCTCTTATTTAATTTTATATATCATATTAAATTAACTTTTATTTTACAATTTTCGATATGACACTCGTATTGTAGGTATAAACAAAAAATAATTATTTTTAAAGTATCAATAAATTTATAAGTTAACATTGCATTGCATATGAGAAGTAAAGTTAAATTAATTATTAGTTAATACTGATTTACAAATATGAAATTAGTCTCAAGTTATTCATATACACTGAAATATTAATAAATTCATAATAAAATGTATTCATGATAAAATATTTAATGAGTATGTTTAGCATTTATGATTTTAAAGCATTAACTCTAAAAAATATAAGTAAAAATTATTTAAAAATAAAGTAACAGTATTAAAATGAGAAACTAATTAATGGGTCATTTTTTGAATTGCAACTTGAATTACTAGATTATGATAATATGTTTTGGGATAGATTATGATAAACCAATGAGTCATCTATCACACTCTAATATTAAATTATAATTTTATAAAGAAAATTAAAAAATATTTATAATGTATATTGTTATAAATTATAATGACAAGTTAATAATTCATCTATCGAACAACAATGTAAATTATTAGCTTGGAAAAATAAAAGTCATAATATTTATAATGTACATTGTTATAAATATAATGATATATTAATCGGTGTCGAACTATCGTTGGGATTTTACCGACTCCCTCGGTGAGAATCTTGATGTCAGCTCAGGGGATTCAATATTTCTATTTTCTTTGGGATAATTCTTTCATGCATGGAGTCAAAATTACATGGTAAATTTTCTGGGTAGGAGTTGATGGAGATTGGTTTGTGCTTAGTGAGGACTAGTAATGGATAAAATTTGTTGCTTGTTAGTGAGGACTAGTAATGGAAATTGAGTTGAAATTTTTTATTATTATTAATTTTTTTCCCTAAACTCAATGATTTTTTTTACCCCCAACGGTTTTGATAATTTTTTAGATTGTAATATCAATTTCTAATTTTTAGATATTTATTCCTCAACTATAATTCAGAGTGTTTCATTGGAAAACGATTTAAATCTACCTCGGTTTTCTTCATTGATCAATTTTTGTTTTGCAAAAGATATCAAAAGTTATGAGCCGTGCAGCTCGTCTGAACGAAGCTTTATCGATCGATTCTGAAAAGGGTCCTAGTGATTCGACTTCGAAATTCACCGCCTGCTGTTGGCTCGACTAAGACTTGGCCTGTACTGAGACTTAGATAAGTCGAGCAAACGTGTTTTGCGCATAAGACATGATACACGGTGTGGAATTTGAGCAAATGCATACGCTTGAGTATTATACTGTATATTTCATGATGTGTGTATATGTTCCAGTTTTCCTTTCAAAACAAACTGTTCGTCATGTTAGTATGTACCGAGAACTCCCTGCATTTCTTTCAGTCTGTCTTTATGCACCGAGAACTCCCTGCTTTCCTTTCAGTCTGTCTTGAAATATAATAAGATTGGAAATTCAACTTTCAACATGTATATAAGCTCCAATTTTTATTTTTATTTTTTATTTTTTTTAAGATACAGAAATGTTGAGTAGTAGTTTTGGCAGTTTGGCAGCAAGATTTTCATCTCTTTACATTACAGACTAATAAGCAACTAAATAAAAAATTACCCCAGAAATAATTATGTTCAGATACTCCTTACTCTGTAATAAGTT